GCCAGGGCTTTGCTAATGTCATAGTCTCTGCCCCTGCCTAGTGAAGAGCAAAGATAGTGTGTGATGTTTTGATGCAATTGAAGCTCCCTGTGGGGGTGGGCAGAAATGGACCTGTTACATTAGGTGCTGATAGGTGGGATCTGATACCGTAAGTAGGGACCTTCACTGATGGTAGCTTTTCCCAGAACAGCATCTCTGTTTTCCTATGAATGTTCAGTCTGCAGCTTCAGGGCAAGTTTTCTGACTGTTAGTGACAAACCTGTATTTTATGTCAATGTGATCTTGATTTTTATGAAGACGTGCATTTGACATTCAGTGACCCGATGCCTCTTTTCTTTGGATATTGAATATGGCAGCTATTCACAGTAGTCTCTATGACATTAAACTTTCCACATGCCCAAAATTGGTGTCAGTGGCTTCAGTGTCTGTTGTCGAGAAAACAGCAGGGACTTGGCCCCACTGCATCCTGCTGCTTCCCTGAAAAGCTGCAATAAAGTTTCCCTTCCTGCTTAAACCCATCTATGCCATCTTTATAGCCTTAAGAGAGCAAGAAGTTCAGTTTCCATCCTGGATCTGAAGGCCACTCTTTCTTGGGGTCACTGTACTATTGGACATTCTTCTGTCACTTCCGGAGGCCATTGTGTTGCTGAAGGCCCACAGTGGCCAAAATTTTTATCTAGCCTTCTACAGACTTGATAAGATCTGTACTGTCTGGAGGCAGATGTCACAATTCATCCCACTTTCTCCCCCCTTCCTCAATCACCATATGGCTGCTGCTCTCTGTTCCTTTGGGGATCTCAGATCTTAAGTGGGACTGAGCTCAGTCCCCAGCTTTGTCTGGGGGAAGGACTCTGAGAGAGTTGAGCCAGTAAACACCAGTAGGGTTTTATGTCTTCATCTTGCCATTTAAGGAGCTTGTGTAAGTTCTGCCTTCACCTTCTATAGCTGTGTTTTTCACAAAGGGCAAGAGTCAAATTTGGAGTTACTGGACCAGCTCGTTGGTGTCTCTTCTGCTCAAGCTGATTCCCTGAGAAAACTCATCCCTGGAACTTGCTTTTCTGATCCTAGCCAAGCTACCTACACCTTTGCTGTTCCAGTATCTGGGTATGTGTTGAGGGGCCTGACAAAGTATGGACTGCCAGAATGAAAGATTTGGATTGTGTGCCTGTCCACAGTGCTTCTCAAAGCTCTTGCTGCTTTTTATTTCAGAGGTGACTACTCATTTGCTTCTCTTTTTTGCCCTGGCTGTGGTGGTCTGTGCTCCCAGCTCAGTACCAGCCTCTTGGTCCTGTTAACAGGACCCTGCTTTTCTGCATTCCTTTGGCTGCTGCTCTCATGGGAAAGCTCACATGCACTGCTACAACCTGTCTCCTGCCTCTTCATGAAACACTTGCTTTGTTTTCACTTAGCCTTTTCTCCTGGTTATTACAGATGAACCCCTTTTTGGTTACTCCGTGATCACAAATGCTTTGCTGTAGGGCCTCCTGCACCTGCTGCAGTGATTACATTAACTGGTCTCCTTGCATCAGCGGGGTGTGTGCAAGGGCTCCCCTGACACACTCCACCATCCAGCACTGCAGGCATCCCACTGATGGCTGTGTGGGAACTGGGACTGTATAGGACAGCTGGAGTTTGCAGAAAGGTGGAATATATCATGAACTGCTGCAGATATCGTCTGCCTGTCTCAGTTTTGATTATGCCATCTCCCAGCTGTGCTCTTAAACAATCTGGATTTTGCTCCTGCTTCTTCTTTTCTGGGTGCACTGGGCTCCAGCACACAGCTGCTAGCGCATAGCAAGGCTGGTGTGAACCTCTGTTTCCCTGCCTGTGCTTACTTGTAGCAGTCTCTTCTCAAGGTGTATGTAGCTGAAAGGATTCCCAGGCTGGGGTGGCCATAGGGCTCTAGAGACAGGGAAACAGGCAGGCCATTGCCATGAGCCTGAAGCTACCAGCCCTACTGTTATCAATGAAAATAATGCTTTCAGTCATGGATTTGGCTATTTCAGTGCTTCTTGCAGCATCTCTCTGCCCTCTAAAGCAGAACTACCTTGAGCATGCACAGCTTGTGGGTTAACCATCAGCCCCCTTGTACTATGTCGAACTAGCGAAGCCTGGTGACTGGAGTGACTGGTCATTTACTTCTAGCAGAATATCCCTGCTGGCCTCATCTCCAGGGGACGTGAGATGTAGCAGCAAAGGGCACAGGTTCCTCATGGGTCATGGACCCGTGTGGCCAGCTTCATCCCTCCAAGGTGCCGGCTATGCAGCTGCCTTCCGTGGCTCTGCCCCACAGACTCGGTGGTTTGAGACTGATCCTGGTTTTTGCGGTTGGTGACAGTGCCTCTGTTTCCTCTGCAAAGCTGGTCTTTGAGCCAGACCCTACAAAACTGCTGGTCTGTACATCCTTCCTGCCCACTATGCTCTGTCAGCCTCAGCTGATGTGGAAAGAGATGAGGGTGGGCAACACCCTTTGTCCACTGTCTTCCTTTCCCGGATGATGTGGGTTTTCCCTCTGCCCCAAGCTGAAAGAATGATGCCTCTGCAGGCATTTGGATTTTGCAAGCTTAAGAAAAGGGAAGAGTGAGGAACACCCAGGGCAACATCACAGGGGAAGCTGGAGGGCTCTGACGCCAGTGGTCGGATGCTGACAAGCACAGTAATGCCTGTCCATGGGCTGTGTGACACCAGCCCCAGGCCTGGCCTTCCCAGGCCATCCCTGCCCTGCAGCACAGACATGGGCTGAGCTGTGCTGTGCAGAAATGCTGCAGCACTGGTGCCTGACCCCAGTGCAACAAGCACCTTCATTCTGGGCACAAGGGCTTCATTTTGCAGTGCCTCAGTGGTCACACTCCCCAGTTTAACACGAAGCTGGTGAAATAGTGCCTTGTTCTTAATGCGCTGAGCACCAGAGTCAAAGGGTCACATAGGTCCCTTACCCCTGGCAAACTGCTCAGCTCCCTGGGGTTGAAGCCAGGCTGGAGGCAAGCTTTCCAGGCTGGAAACACTTGAAAACAAGTGGTTACTGTGGGGAAAGCCACAAGTCCCTTTAACGGCCAGGCAAGAGCAGAAGGTTGAACATGTGCTGCTTGACCTCCCCAGCGTGCTGGAATGCTGTCCTCATGCTGGCAGCCCACTGCCCTTTTCCCACCTCTCCACGCTGCACTGCAGGTGCCACTTCCCTGCAGCTCTGGGTTTCATTACTAGAGTTGAAAGCTTCTCTACATTCTTCCAAAAGCTTGAGTTTCCTTGCTCGGCTTGCTGTCTCCTTGCATCCACCTCTTCCTGTTTCTCCTGGCCTGGGATGGAGATTGTGACCAGAGTGCCTGTGCTGAATCTGGAACACACTTTTCCCTTACAGAAATGTTAATGCCACAGTTGCATGCATGAGAATGGGATTCAATGGAAACTATTTCTTCATGTCCTGGTCCAATTCCCTTCCTTGCTGCAGCTCTCCCTCCATAGAACTTAATGCATCACTTGGGACTGACCCATCCATGAGCTGGGGAGAAGGAAGGAGTGGGCAAGAGCCCAGAGCGGGGCCCTTTTCTCCAGCCTGTTGTGCATGCACCTGCATCTCTGTCAGGGTACAGAACACTGCTCGGGAGGGTACCAGTTGCCCTCACATGTAAGAGCACTAAGCCTGTGTCCAGGCTCTGTGGGTGCTGATGCAATGCCATAGTGATATTGCCGATTTAGGGAAGCAGCAGGGCGGCTGCAGAATAACCAAAACCCCACACTGGATGTGATGGCCACAGTCCCCACAGCTCTCCTTGCCCCAGCCTCCTGACCTTAGCCCTCCCCATGCCAGCTCCAGTGCTGCGCCCAGTTCATAGAAACCCTTCATCAGGAGCACGTGTTTCAGTAAGGAGAAGCAGTGCTTCATGAGCTTACGCAGACACCAGCTTCAGCATAACTATTTGGGTTATGCAAGACTGCTCAGTATCCCTCCTCATCCCCACACAATGGGGCCCAGGACGTCAAGGGTGTGGTTGGCACAATGTGGAGACTCAGCCCCAACAAAATTCTCAGCCAATTTCAGCAGTGCAGAAATTGAGTGGCCAGGGTCCTTTGGTGAAAGGACAGGGCATGGCTCCATGGTGGTGACTCAAAGCCGCTGCTGCCATGGTGCTGGCCTTGGCAGTGCAGTAGGTTACTCTAAGGGCACATCTCCAGGTGCTGCATGCTCAGCCCGGTCCTGCTGCAGGAACTTGGCCTGGGACACGAGAAGCAGCACGGGCTTCAAAATGCTTGAGGCACATTACTGTTACGAACAAAACAGCCTGGCTGGGACACTTGGCTTGGGCTAAGTACTGACATTGAAATGTTAATTAGCTAATTGTTTCTGGGAATCACCTACCTCCCCCCACCCTCACTACCATTCTAGGACTGGGATGCAAAATAATCCAGTGGAATCATGGGAGGGGGTTTTGGGGATGAAAAACACCCCTAAATGGAAAAGATGGACACAGTGGAGGGGGCTGGATGGGTGTGCTCGTTGGGGAAAAGGGAACCCCATCCCTAGTCTGTGTTTGACCTGTCCTACAGAGGACCAGACTGGACTGGGCTGTGGGAAGCAGGTGCTAAGCACAGACACTACCCGGTGTTACCAGGAGGGAAGGAGAGGGACAGCTGCTGCTGGACTTCGGCAGCAGGCTGTGCACATTCCCTCACCCTGCGGCCACCAGTGTGCCGGGAGGCAAGTAGAGAGGACGGTGTGCTGGGACTTCAGATACAGACTGCACACCTCTTCACCTCCACCTACCAGCGTGCCACGGAGACTCCAGGGACAGACTCTGCACGCCTGCTCACCCTTCGGCTACCGGAGAAGCTACAACAGCGGGGGCGAGCTCCTTGTTGAGTCCCCTGCCGAGCTAACTGTTTAATAAAGAGCTGACATTAATAATGGTATAGACCCTGTTCATTTCAATTACCACCACAAAGGCACGTCTTGCTCTGCGTTCCCACCACGCGTGAGGCCACCTCTCCCCTGTGCCACAGGATCTCTCCGTTCTTCCATCCCCGCTCTCCACTGGGCGGGGAAGAACGCTACAAGGAACAGGAGGTTATTGTGCAGAAGACTCTCAGGCCGGAGCAGGGGGCTCCCTCCTCTGACGCCGCGGCCGGACTCAGCCCTGAAAACCCCGCGGGCCGAGCCGCACCCGCGGTTCGGAGCGATCCCCTCACGCGGGCAGGGAGCGTCCGCCTCGCCGGGCGGAGCGGCCTCCCGGGAGCCAAGGGCTGCGCGGGGCGGAGAGAACAGCCGGTCAGCGGGAGCCGGACGGAGCTGCCGGGGCGGGCGTCGCCTCTGGGAGAGCTCCGGCCAGCGCCGGCCCCTGCCCGTAGCTCCGCGCGGCCTCCGAGCCGCGGGCGGCGAGGCCCGGGGGCGGCACCGCCCGACGGGCGCGGGACGTGGCGGAGCGGGGCGGGCCGGGGCCGCGTGGCTGCCCGGCGTGGAGCGGGGCTGCGGAGCGGACACGCGGGGCGGAGATGCGGAGCGGGGCGGTGGGTGCGCACCGGCGGGCGGGCGGGAGCGGGGCGGGGCGGGGCGGCCCCGGGCCCCTTTGTTCGGCGGGAGGCGGCGGCGCGCCGCCCCACCGCTTTGTCCGCCCTGCCGGCGGGAGCCGCTGGTGCCGGTGCGCCGTGAGTGGGGCCGGGGAGCTCCCGGGGGAAGCGGGCGGTGGGGCAGGGACGGCACCGCGGGCGGCGGGAGCCCCCGGCGCGGGCCGGGGCCGCGGGCGGGTGGAACCGCGGGCTGGGGGTCTCGGAAGGGCCGGGGCAGCTGGGCTGGAGGCCCTCGGGGCGCTGGAGTCGGTGGGACCGGGGAGCCTGAGAAGGCCGGGGTTGAGGGCTGGGTCCCCGGGGGGCAGGGGTCAGTGGCACAGCGTCCCCAGATGGGCAGGGCCGGTGAGCCCAGGGTGGGATGCCTGCTGCTGTGCCCCTGGGCAGGGGAAGCTGGGGCTCGCAGGCAGGGCAGAGGGGACTGGGAGCCCCACGCGGGGGGACGGGGGTCGGTAGGACTGAGGGTAGGTGTAGGGCCCAGCCAAGGTATAGGGTGCTAGTGCTGACTCCCAGCGTGGCCGGGAGGCCCTGGATGGCTGTGCTGCTTTCAAAACTGGCCTCTGGACCTGCCCGGCATAGGGGACAGGCTGCAGGTAGCTCTGCCCTGCCTATGCCCACTACTGCTGCCATCCCACGTTGCCAGCCATTCCCATGCCACACTTCCATAGCCACCACAGCAATGCCACCCTCTGTTTTTGCTTTCCTTGGGCTTGGTACCTGTCGTGGTTTGACATAACCTGGGTTTTGGTTCCTGGAGCTGTCCTCTGCCTCATCCTCTCACCTTGTTCTTCACCCTGGTGTCAGGGTTGTGTGCTGCTAAGACTAGGGTAAAGGCAGACACAAAGCATCCACCTTCCAGGGAGGTGGTGGGGGAAAGGAGCTCACACCTGGGAGACAGGGCAGCAGTGAAATCTTGCAGGGCGTATGACCACAGGAGGATGGTGGCCCTGATGGCTGAATTTGGGTCCCTGGTGCCAGCCAGCCTGTGCCACCTCCTGCAGCAAGAGCTTGTGCTGGGCGGACTCTTCTCCTTAGGTGAGGTTGGTCGGGAGGCTGGCTGAGCTTAATGTGAAAGATCCTCTTATGCTGGACAATAGTGGAATCAGTGCAGCATCAATCATCATCTGCAGGGACATGCCGAGGCTGGCAGGGGCTGCTGGAGGCTCTGTGTGGACACATGCCCTCTGCTCACCCTGGGCCATCCCTGCCACCTGCTGCCCTGGCTTGCATCATCTTGTGCACAAGCTGCTGAAACCAGGGGTGACAGTGGGTGGTGTGGGTTTCTTGTGTCTTTGGCTGGGAGAAGTGACATGGTCCTTGTAATTTCCTCCCCAATCTCTAGTGTCAGCTATTTTGCCAGGGTTTTGTGCAATTCCTTGGCTACCCCACACTGCCCCTTGCTATCACTATCCTGTCCCCGTTCCATCCCTCCACCAGCCCTTGCCTTGGAGCTGCAGGGTGCTGTGAACACTGGCCACTGCAGCCTTTGAGGGCTGGGTTCCTGCAGGAGAGAGGGCACAGCACTGAGGTTTGGTGGGAGAGTGATGCTGCATCTCTGCTGGCCCTCAGAGGAGTGAAGGGGACCTGGCTGATTAGCATGTGGTGGGGGACGCACTCTGGAGACCTGCCCCCCTCAGCCCGGGCTCAGGGCGGGCAGCTGAAGTGGGCCAGTGGAGCTGCCATGTGTAGTCTTCCTCCAGTGGCCTGTGGACCCTCTGGGAGGGTTTGAGTGCTTTCACAGGGTGTGACACTGGTTAGGGACCTGTCCAATGCCAGGTGGGTGCTGTGTCACTAGGGGAGAAGGAAGTGGTTCTGCTCCTGCCTGTCCCCTCACAGTTCCCAGCTGGTGCTGCCCTACACTGGTATGTTTGCTCTGGTTGTGACTGTGCTCACTTTTCCCCTAGATGTGTCCCTGCAGGCAACCAGGATGTCCCAGCCTTTCCCCATTGCCTCCACCCACCTGGCTGGCGGCAGGGTGGGAGCAGGATGCAGACAGGAGCACAGGGAGGCGGTGCTGAGCAGGGAATAAAGTATTGGGGAGACAGCTTCCTGAGCTGGCCGTGTTTATGGATCTGTGGGTAAGGGAATGGACACTGGTGCTGGAAGAGGAGGCAGGACAGAGCTGGGCTAGCAGCTGGCGGGCTTCAGGGTCCTGGTGAGGTGCACGCCAGATTTGCTCAGTGCCTCTTTGCCTGGCCCTTCCTTGCAGGATTTGAGTCAACTGCCTGGTCAGGATGAGCTGGAGTTTCCTGACGCGGCTCCTGGAGGAGATCAACAACCACTCGACCTTCGTGGGCAAGATCTGGCTGACCGTCCTCATTGTCTTCCGCATCGTGCTGACGGCCGTGGGGGGAGAGTCCATCTACTACGACGAGCAGAGCAAGTTTGTCTGCAACACGCAGCAGCCGGGCTGTGAGAACGTCTGCTACGACGCCTTTGCGCCCCTGTCCCACGTCCGCTTCTGGGTCTTCCAGATCATCATGGTGGCGACGCCGTCGGTGCTCTACCTGGGCTTTGCCATGCACCGCATCGCGCGCATGCCTGAGTCCTCGCGGCGCCGGCCACCGTCAGCCCGGCGGGCACGCATGCCCGTGGTGCGCCGGGGAGCCGGGCGAGACTACGAGGAGGCAGAAGATGACAATGAAGAAGACCCCATGATCTTTGAGGAGATCGAGGTGGAGAAGGAGAAGAGCCCAGAGGGCGGAGAGAAGCACGATGGCCGGCGCCGTATCAAGCACGACGGGCTGATGCGTGCCTATGTGCTACACTTGCTGTGCCGCTCAGTGCTGGAGATGGTTTTCCTCTTCGGGCAGTACCTGCTGTACCGCTTTGAGGTGAGCCCCTCGTACGTCTGCAGCCGCAGCCCCTGCCCACACACTGTCGACTGCTTTGTCTCCCGCCCCACTGAGAAGACCATCTTCCTCCTCATCATGTACGCCGTCAGTGGGCTCTGCCTCTTCCTCAACCTCTGCGAGCTCTTGCATCTTGGTGTGGGGCGCATCCGTGATGCCCTGAGCCAGGCTGATGGCCCCCCGCTCCCAGCTGGCGACAGTCCCGCACCACAATACCCCAAGAAAGCCCCCAGCGCCCCGCCCACCTACCACTCCCTGAAGAAGGAGCTGCCGCAAGCCCCACTGACCAACAGCAAGCTGGACTACCGGGAGAGCCTGGCCCAGGGGCGCTTCGCCCTGGCTGGATCTCCCCCGGTGCACGAGCTGGACCGGCTGCGTGAGCACCTGCGTCTGGCCCAGGAGCACCTGGAGGTGGCCTTCCACCTCCAGCCCCCGCCACGGCCCCCCAGTCCTGCCCGCAGCAGCAGTCCCGAGGCCAACGGCATCGCCGCCGAGCAGAACCGCCTCAACCTCGCCCACGAGAAGGGGACCGCCGCCTGCGACAGGACCACGGGTGAGCCGGGAAGGGGGATGGATCCTGCCCACTGGGGTGGAGGCGTGGGGGGCTGCCCCGAGGCTCCCCTGGAGAGAGGATGCCATTCCACCTGAGGTGGGTACTAACCTGCTTTTTTGCTCCCCACAGGGCTGTGAGTGTCGCCAGGAATGGCAGCGGTGTCTACCGGAGTGGCTGCCACTGCCACCGTGGGATAGGCGTCCTGCCAGGAGCGCAGGGCAAGGAATGCCACACGCCTGCCCAGCGGGGCAGTCTGGGCAGCCCTGTCCTGGTGGGCAGCAGAGGGTTCAGGGGCCATGGGGTTCATTCCTACTTAATTTTCAGAAAGGGAATATCTTATTTTTGTACGTTTTTATAAACTCATCAACGTGTGCACCCTGGCATTTTTATACTCCATCCCAATCTCCACTCTGTGGCCTGTGCCCCCCATCTCCTGTTTCACCCACGTTTCCTCCTCCCACACCCATTTTCCCCAGCATGTTGTCCTCGCACCTCCCTGTGCCCCCCATGCCCTCTACCACCCGTGGCAGCACCAGCTGGTGCTCTGCATGTGCTGGTGATTTTGGTACTGCCCCCTGAGGGGTGGGTGACTTAGGGGAGCAGGCTGTGGGGGTCTGGCTGGCCAGGCCAAGCTGTGGGACAGAGTCCTGGGCTGGCATTACTCTTGGAGGGGGTGGGAGGGGTCCTGGTGGCACTGTGCTGCCACAAAATGACTTTGTGGCCTAAGGGGCTGTGCTGCACAGCATCCTGGCATGGGGCTATGAGTTGCGTGGCTGGCCTGCTTGGAAATGTCTGTGCAGAGGTCAGGGACTGTTGTTCCCACTGCCTCCGCCCTGTCCTGGCAGGCTGCCCTTGGACCAAAACTTGTCTCCTCCCACTCTGGCTGCGGGGCTGGGACCCCCCTGCACGGAGCCAGACCCTGGCCTCACAGTGGGGACGTGGTGCCCCGAGCTGGGCTCGGCCAGGAGCCAGTGGAGCATTCCTCATCATCTCAGCCTGGGTCACATGGGGACTTTTGTAGCGTTGTTTTTTACTCGGAAATGATTGTCACTGGTTTTTTTTCTTTTTTTTTTTTTTTAATATCTATATTAGTAAAGGCTAAAGACGTTTTGTACTGAACCGCTGCATCCGCTCATTCGGGAGGAAGGGGTGGGAAGGGAATCCTGCCGTTGGTGCCTTGGGACCTCCCTGCTGCCCGGGGTGACTCAGTTGTTCCTGCCGTGAGGAGGCGGCTGTGGTCGGGGCAGCCTCATCGTCATCATCCTGCCGGAGAGGGATTGCACTGGCCACATTCCTTTTTGGCCCTGTCACTGTCAAGGGGCCAGGTGAGGGGCTTTCCTCTGCCTCCCCATCCTCCCACCATCCCCATGTCTCCCCAGCCCCCTGCTGCCCCCGTTGCTGTACAACTGTTGCCCAGAGCAGAAAGGATGTTGCTCTGCTCTGCACACCCCTGCCTGGGGCAGGATCAAACCCAGCCACACCCTGCCCATTTTCATTTTGGCCAGCATACTCCAGTCCCTTCTCTGGTACCCCAAATCGGAGCTGGATGCCTCTTAACAGTATTTTCCCATCCCCTAATTTCTCCATCTAGATAGAAGCAGACATTTCCAGGCTGCTTTAGAAAAGGGAACAAGTTTATTTCACTCATCCCATTTAGCTTTCCAACAAGCCATGCTGCTGGGAGAGGGCTCACTTGTGGTGCCACGTGTGCTGCCAGCCCTGCCACCAGTGTGAGGTCCTGGCATGGGCTCACCCAGGAACATCCTGATCCTGCTGCAGCAGCCTGGCCCTGCCTGGAGCACAGGGGAAGCTGTTGAACTCTGCAGCAGGAGGAAGACACCAACCTTTGTGGGGTGCAGAACTGCAGGAGGGAAGCAGGTGGAGAGAGATGAGGGTTGCAGACAGCAGCCTGGCTTTGGCAGGACACTGATGCCTTTGCCGTAGGTTGTGCCTATCCATGCCCCGCCATGCCCTGATTTGCTCTGAGCTGGGACTGGCCCTAGGGCTGGTCTGGCAGTGTGATGGTACTAGGGCCAGCCCAAAAATCTGCCTTATGCAGGGGAGGGTGGTACAGCCAAACTCCCCCATCCCAGCGGCCAGGGTTCCACTGGGAAGGCAACTCCTCCTGGGTGGGATCACGGTCCGGGGCTGGGCTGCAGGACGCCCTAGACACAGGTGCAGTCCTGGGCCAGGATGTTGGGCACCGTCTCGTACTTGAAGGAGTAGCCGCCGTCGGAGGTGGTGCGGACGCGCAGGGAGCGCATGGTGCCGGGCAGGGCAGCGCAGCAGAGCTGCACGCCCAGCCGGTGGCTCAGCCCGTGGCCTGCCGCGCAGCTCCCGTGGCAGTAGTGGAAAACAAAGCTGCTGGGATGCACGATCCACTTGTCCCAGCCCAGCTCCTCGAAGGAGATGTTGAGGGAAGCCCGGCGGCAGTTGGTGTGGGCAGCCAGCTCCTCAGATGGACGCTGCAGCAGGCTCAGGGCGGCTGGGGACCAGGGCATGGCAGAGCGACGAGCCCTCTCGCTGCCCTTGGCCCGGGTGGTGGCCACCAGGAAGGGCATCTTGTCCCCCTCAGGCAGGCAGGGGCAGCCAGGGCAGCGCACCAAGAGCACAAAGAGCGGCTGCCAGAGCTGGGGCAGCAGCACTGGGGCCAAGTGAAACACTGTCCAGTGCTCGGGTGTCCGCTCTGCCATGGCTGTCACCGGCACCCGGCCCTGAGGGGACAGGGTCAGCACGTCAGGGAAGGAGTGGTTGGGGGCAGCCGAGGGGCCCGTGTAAAACCAGAGCTGGGCAGAAGTCACCACACGGCTCAGGGTGTGTGCCGAGGGCTGGAAGAGGTACGTGAAAATCCCTTCTTCCTCCAGCAGCTTGTCTGGCTGTGTGGGCTCACAGGGAACGTCTGTGGGGGGGAAAAGATGATCAGGGTGTGCGCCCAGACCTGGGGAGAATCCCCGATGCCAAATGGCAAGTGGGATGTTGCAGAGGTCCCTGGAATGCTGGCAGGGCTCCTGGCTGCTGGCATAGGCTGTGGCAGGATGCAGAGGAGCCGGTGCTGTGCAGTAGCTTCTGTGCTGTGCCCCACAGCTGATCTCTGCTATGCTCTAGGCTGGTCCATTACTGTCACCCCTGTCCCCCAGTATCCTCCCCCATAGGTGGTTGTCTTGCCCCTTTCCCCCAGAGTCCACATCATGCCCTGTCCCCCAGCATTCACCCCATAGCTGGTAATCCTGTCCTTTTCCCCCACCTCTGCACCCTGACCATCTCCCTGCATCCTGGCCCATCTCCCAGTCCTGTCCCAGAGTTGGTCATCCTGCCCCCTTTTCCCCAGCATGTACATCCTATCCCATCCCCCAGCATTCTGCCCCATCTGCTGTTATAGGTGGTCATCCTGCCCCATGCTTCAGCATCCTGCCCTGTCCTTTAGTATCCCAACCCATATTCCAGTATCCTGCCCCATTCCCTAGCATCCCACCCTATTCCACTCCACTCCTCAGCCCTCCCATGTCTCCACATTCTGCCTGGCCAGCTGTTTCCCAGCCTCTCAGCACCCTCTTGTGCTGCCTGTCCCTCTGCTGTCTGTCCTGAACTCTTCTGCCTGTCCCTGCCTGCCATACCTTTCCATCTCCTGGCTCTCCACCAAATCTCACTCATGCCCATGTCCCAGCCTGGCATACCTTCTTCCCCTTCTCCCACGGAGCACCACATCAGCCTCTCCATCCTACAGCATCTGCATTACTCCAACCCCCCACCCTGCTTCACCCTTTCATCAGGATGTTCTCACCTGTGGCAGGGAATAAGATCACCTGGGAGGTGTCCTCCAGCTCCTCTGGCTCCACTTCAGTGTTTTCAAGGACGTCTCTCCGGTGTACCCTCCTTGCTTCCATCTGTGGCTCCTCCTGGAGAAGGGGGGGACTCAGATGTTCCAGCACCCGAGCCCGCACCTTGGCCAGGATGAGCTGCCGGTCGGCGCCCGCCCCGGTGCAGCTGGCCAGGGCGGCGGTGGGCAGCATGGCAGGCAGCAGGTGCAGGAGCAGCAGCATGGCCGTGGGGCACACAGCAGGGTACTGGCTTGGGGGGCTCTGCCGTGGGCTTCTGCCTGCCTGCCCAGCCCGTCTGCCCACAGCGCTGCCCCCGGGGCAGGGTGGCATTGAGATCTAGCTGCCACTGACGCAAACGTCTGCTCGCCGTGAATATTATCTCTGAGCTGTGAAAGCGCTGAGACGTCTGGAATGCGAGGACTGCAAGGACAGTGTGGTCTGGGGGGGCCGGTGCCCGGGCAAGGGGGTGTGTGTGGGGGATGCTGGCGGGAGCGGGGCGTGCGTGGGGCTGGGGAGACCGGGCTGTGGGCAGGGTGGTGCCGGGAGCCCAAGCTGGCAGGGATGGAGGGGGTGCCTGGGTGAGCTTTGCAGCTGCTGATGCCAGGTGCCTCCCATGGCGGAGGAGTTGAAGGTCTAGGGCTTCTGGGGAGCTAGTGGGAAGTGACAGCAGTTGTGCACGGCAGGGAAATCTGGGCAAGGACCTGGTGGGGATCAGAGGCCTGTGAGGCTCTGGCATGGGGGAGGCGCTTTGCAGGTGGCAGTCCCCAGGGCAGCCAAAAGTGAGGATGGGGCCTTGGAAAGGGCAAGCTGAGGAGCAGAGTGGTTGTGGCATCTCCATGACAGTTCATGACATCTCCATGACATCTCCATGACATGACTGGCAAGATCCTGGGGACATGAAGCAAGAGGGATGGCAAAAGGTCCCTGCTCTACCTGAGGCTGCAGAAGGCTGGAGAGTGGAGAAGAACAGATGAGACTTTCAGGGGGAGAAGAACAGATAAGACAGGGGCAGGCCAGCTGGAGACCCTGCAGCAGGTCCAGGAGAAGGATCCTAGGGTGCTGTTTGGGCTGTCCAGCCATGGCTTGGCTCACAGGGTGGGAGTTGCAGGAGAGGCATGGGCTGTAAGGAGACCCAGTCCCCTTCCTCTCACCACTGCCTGAGGGGACAGTGCCTATCCACTAACCCTGCATGCGCTGTGGATGGTGGGCAGCTTGTGCATCCCCTCTGTGCCTCTGGCAGCTCCGTGTCCTGCCCATCCCATCCCATATAGCCTGGCATCTCACGCAGCATCCAATGCAGCACCTCCCCCCATGCAGCATGTCCCGTGTGACACGTCCTGTCTCACTGCAGTCTGGTGTCCAGCTCAGTGTACAGCACACCATGCACCCTGCACCCCATGCCACGCTCTCCACAGGGCACGTTGTCTCTCGCTGCTGGCTGAGGCAGCACAGAGGCGCAGCCAGGCCTGCAGCACCCCTGCAGCTCTCTGGGGTGGCTCCTGCTGGGCTGCTATACATAGGTAGGCCAGCCCAGCCTCGGCGAGGCGCTGGACGGAGCAGGCTCACTCTTATCAACCCCGCGTGTCATCAGAGGGTATTTTTGGGGACAGCAGCTGCAGGCATTTGTAACATTTGGTCCCTGCGCACTGACACCCAGAAGGGGAGCTGGGGGAAGAAGCAGGAGCTGGGTGCCGGCACTGAGAGACACAGGGGAGAGGTGGCAGAACGAGGTACATGAGTGGGGCAGGGGACTGGGCTGGGGGGCTGCCTGGGGCAGGGAGGGTGGTTGGGGAAGGGAGTGGTTGAAGGGTGCAATGGCGCAGCCGAGCCATCAGAGCTGTCCAGTTTGTGTCCAAAGGAGCTGCTGTGGGGTGGCCCACGGGTCAGGGGCGTGTGGATGGAGAGATGAATCTGAATAGATGCACTGTCCCAGGGGTAGGGCTGTGGGAGGAGAAGCTGGCCACAGTCCCTGTCGCTCCTTGGGGACCAGCTCTCTCCTACCCTCTGGCTCATTCAAGAAGTATTTTTGTTTCCCCTCCCCCTGCCTGAGCAAGTCAGAGACGACCCTGCCCCAGTCCCAGCCATGGTGTGGGCAGAGGGTGGTGTGCACTCAGCGGGGAGAGGCACAGAGCGCCCTGCCCTGGCGGTGGGCACGGTTACCCACAAAGCCAGGGATGGAGCAGTGCCCTTCCATAGCAGGACCCACCTCCCTGGCTTTTCCCCTGGGGTTGATGATTTCCAGCTATGGTTTTGAGTGCACAAGGGCTGGATCCTGCCTGTGGGACTACTCTCTAGAAGGGG